TGATTTATGAATTTTTAAACTTAAAACCTGAATGTTGATTTGCCTCATTCCAAACACCTGAATTTTAAACTCTTCCCTAGTTTTTTTGTACAGAGTAACTCTCTCTCCTAGCCCACCTGCTTGCCTAAACCCAATCAAGACCCAACAGATTCTCCCCACCCGCAAGCTAAATATGAAGCCCAGAAATACATAAGTGCATAAATGTCCACTTAAAACCTCCCAGGGACCAAAGTGGCCCAATCTTTTTCTTTAGGCCTAATATTCACGAGTCACAAATTTTTTGGTGATAATTTCGTAAGGATTAAACTGGTTGTACACACTTAGTATACATTAAATATGACACTTCAAGCGTTTTCAAAATTTGTGTCATTAATTGTTTAAAGTGTTTTGAATATCAATATCTAAAATATGTGTAGCTTGATTGATTTCGTAACTACAAACATTTAGTGTGACAAATTTAAAAAATTAGGTAAATTAAAAATAGTTCAAAAATTAGGAACAACTTCAAGTTTGTTATTACATTGTATGTAATTTTTTCGTGTGTGTAATTTCTTGTATCATATTTTTTGTAATTTGTTATTATGTAAATTTATTACAAAATTCGTATCCTACATCCCTTTTTTGAACCCCATTTTGTGATGGGGAAGGGGGAATGTATTCTTAAATAGTGATTTTTGAAAAATATGTGGTTAAAAATTAAGGAAAAAAATCGATTTACATGTAAAATTATTTAATTAGAGAATGTGTGCTTGAAAATGAGTTTTGAAAGAATGAATTTTTGATAAAATGGAGCTCAAACAACGTAACAATGATTGTAATTTATACTCTATATTAATTCTACATTAAATTAATATCATATACATTAAAAAAAAAAAATTGTAAATTAGATTATGCCCCTGTTTGATACCGATTAAAATCTATATTTTAATTTAAGTCAAAGTCATCAATTTATTTCAATCATATATTTTATGGGTTCCACAATTTTTTAATCACATATTTCATCATATTCTATCAAATCTACTAAAAATCTGATTTTAATCACTACTGATAAATGCGTTTTACACACTTATTTATACCACAAAATATGGACAATTGTTGGTCACTATATCGAAATATGGCTTAATTCTATATAAAGCCCCTGTTTGGTGCACATTTTGGGGCAAGAATGTATTTTTTTGTTGATGAATTGATGTGATGAGGAATATGTGGTAGGAAAAGAAGGAAAAATTATAGATGTGATAAAAAAATATTATTTTATTGAATAATGTGTGGTTGAAAATGACTAGAATAATGAGAATGAAAAAAATAATGTGGACCAAACATGGGCAAATTGTGTTTTATAGGATAACATTGATGAACATGGTAGAGTGGAATTTAGGAAAAATGAGCGAAAAAGGACTAAAATGGAAGAAAATCAAAATTCAGAGACCAAAGTGCATATAGTCGAAAGATGACTCGGGAGAAGAAATGAAGTTGTGAAGGAGTCAAAAACCAATGGAGCAAAGGAATGAAGTGTTGGAAGAAAAATTAATGAGAAAACACATCGAGAAACGAGAAAACGGAGTTCGGGGACCAAAATGCAAAGAATGAAAGTTTTCTTGAACTATGTGGTTGCATAGTTCTTCTTACATGCCCAGTGTACACCATGAAGCTTCTTAATCAGGGATAATTTTATTGTTCTATGTGGTCGCATTGACTTGTACTATGAAGTCGCATAGTACAATGTCGAAGGAAAAATTCTGATATCTTTATTTGAATAAAACTCTAATGGAAACAAATCTTGGAGCATGTTTTAAAACTTTAAAGTCATCCAGAACGCATGACAACATATTCTAAGAGACTTTTGGAGCAGAGAAGAAGCCAAGAACACGAAGATCGAATCTAAGAACACGAGAATAAATTCAAGAACTATATTGGATGATGTTGATTCTTCAATATTCTTTTTGTTTTCTTCTTCATAACATGCTATGCTAGTTTTCTTTGTACTAGGAGAACGATTAATCATGTAATATGAGTTTTAATTTTTAGTTTTATATGTTTGACATTAAAAACACATTTTTGAATATTGAATGATTTATATGATTTTATTTTCTCCATAATTATTGTGTACGGTAGATGTGTGAATGTGATGACCTGTTTTATGCATTCGAAAGAAGGAAAATAGGTTCGACATATATAAATTGTCATATGGTCCGATAGGAAATAGAAATATACCGATATGCCTTATTTGAATATTTAAGTATTCATAAAAATTCATACATTTTTATATGTTCGCATTCATCATAGAAATATAGTTGGGTTATATATAAAAGTAGGTTTAACATTACTCGAGAGAGATTGATAAATAAAATAGGAACATTGATTCGCCAAATTCAATCATATTGTCAACGTGTAAAATTAGGGTTAAAAATGATTATTGCATGAGAATTCGGAATCCTAGTATGTTTGTCATTCATTAAAACACATTGACTCGCGTTTAACATAATTTGTATTTAATTTAGTTAATTCACTCTTAATTGCATAATTAGGTTAATTTAGATATAATTTAGTCATAGCACACCATATTATTCTTGTTTCGGTTAAGGGCGCGATAATTAAAATTGAACTAAATCAATCTCTTTGAGACGATACCTGGACTCAAAATCCACTTTATTACTTGTTAACGAACCGTACACTTGCGATGATTTTAATTTGAAATATATTTTCGTAAACAAGTTTTGGCGCCGCTGTCGGGAATTGAGTTTAGTTTGATTTTATTTATTTCGACGCTAAACAGGGTCTATGTATTGTTTTTGTTACATTGTATGTATTTTTTTTTTAAATTGTAACTTATTATTGTTAAA